AAGGGGAAGGGGCATTGAATCCAAGAAAAATTACCCACTGGAAGGGAAGTGGCATTGTGGTTTTCTAAGGCCCATAGTTTGGGACTTTTTAAAAGGAGCTAAGTATACATATGAACAAAGCAAAATTAAGAGACTTAATTTGAATGGGAAAAACTTAATAAGGTCTGTACAAGGTGGTTATTTTGAAATCACCAAGGGATCAAAGGAACTTCACTCTGTATAAAACACTGTCTTTTAAAGATAGGGATGAATAGGCGTGGTAGTGCATACCTTAGTCCAATATACTTGGGGATCTGAGGCCGGAGGATCTCTTGAGTCTAGGAGTTTGCGATCAGCATGGGCAACTTAGCACGACTCTGTATCAAAAAAAAAAAAAAAAAAAAAAAGGGCTGGTGTATGTGTGTGTAGAATGGCACTTCTAGTTATTAATGTGCATTAAGGAATTCATGGTGAAATAAATACCTCTGCTTTCTTGGACTGTAACATGCCAAATCCCTGGAGGTAAACTGCAGGAAGACTTGGTGAGGCTTTTTGGTCAGAAAACCCTGAGTGGATTTGACATAGTGATGGTAAGAATGCCTTTAGTTGATGTCAGTAATATTTGCAGAATGATGTGTCCTACTTCTGATGATGTTTGTAGTACAGTGATGGCCCTGAAAAGTTAGGGGTGCTGGACATTGCCAGAAGGTACATTGTAGGATGCTGTGTGGACTTGGGGCCTAGAGACCTGAGTTGGAGTTGTGGCTCCATCGTTTACTTGTTTATCATTTGTGAGTTCCTTATCTTCTTGGCTTTACTACCCATAAAGTGGAACAGCTACCCTACCTCAGCTCTTGTGAACGCCTGTGGGGATCACATGAGAGAATGAAGGTGAAAACTCTTAAAAAGTAATGCAGTCTATGCAGTGTGTTCTTATGGGAAACAAAACTGAAAACATCACACCCTAATATAAAACTAGTATTACTGGGGCTGAAATCAAATTTGTGGTCTTTGTTCTTTCCCAGAGAAGCCAGGGATGGATTTGTAGGTCAATGGTAGAGTACTTGCGAGTGCCTGAAGTCCTGGGAACCATCCCTGGCACCACAAAAACAAGCCCAGTGCAGTAATCATCAGGTTAAAAAGACTACTAAAAGGACTACACAAGCAAATACATACCTAAAGTTCTCCTTATTCCACAACCAAAGTGTTATGTATGAGAAATGACAGTTTGGAAAACTAAATCACAGAAGAGACACTGAATCACTCAAGCCTGTGTGGGGATCCTGAGAGTTCCCAGCTGGGCCAAAGACCTGCCCAGTGCCCTCCTCTCTTTGGAGGCCTATGCGAAGCTTGATGGAGTTTGCCCAAGTTGGGACTTGTCTGCCTTCTCAAAACACAGCCTGTCTCATGAATCAAATTTGCATTTACATCCTACCACAAACCACCTTCTAATCATACTTAGGAACCATGTTCAAATTCTGCCAAGGTGGTTTTGTGTTGAATTCAGGTTTGACTAATAAACTTGCTAATAACAGAAGTCTACCCTACCTGGACTCTTGTTCTGACCACTTTTTTGTTTACATTTTGAGTGATTTAGTGACACTTCTGTGATTTAGTTTTCTCACATGTAACACTTTGTGGAATAAGGAGAATTTTAGGTATGCACTTGCTTATATACATGCAGACTTTTTAACCTGATGAGTCATTGTGAAACATTGTAAGGGTCTGTTATCATTCGTACACACTTGACTTTTCAAAGGGAATTAGATTTAGGTTTGTGATTTAGTGTACTAAATTTACAGTAAATTCAGATATGTTTATAATTTTATTATCACTTATTTTGTTTCAGTGAATAATATTAACAGAAGACTGGCCAAAATGTCTGTCTTAAAGACATTTAGGAAAAGGTATATAAAACAGCAGAATTGTTCAGTGTTGGATCAATGATCCAAACAGTGTGAATTAAAAAACAAAACTAAATCTAGATTGAGCTGGAAAGGATTTTGGAGGTCATCTAGTTCAGTTCCTTCTTTCTGGTTAATCATGAGGAAAATGAGGTTCAGAGAGGTTAAATGACTTGCCCAAAGCCACGCGACTAGTTACCCACAGCACATAGACTTGAATAGCTTCTTGCCGAGACCTTGCTGTAACTTTCCACTTCCTAATCAGTGGTTCAAGAGAAACATTTTATTTTGTATGGTTGTTTATTTTTATTTTTTAGGTTTTACATTCAGAAGAGGGATTCATATTTATTGAGTACCTACTATTAAGTGTTTTTATGTTGTTTCATGTAATTCTTACACAGTACTGTGAAGAGTTATTAATAGTCCCACTATACAGATTGAGCACAAAAGAAACTAGTGCAGTAAACTTGCTCAAGGTCATGTGATTAACACAAGTGCTGACATTTGAGCTTTAGGTCTTTATGACCTGTTCTGCTGTGATACCCACTGTAGCTCCTAGTGATGTAAATTCAGACCTTTTCCTGGGTGTGGGCAATAGTGATGGTTATCATAAAAGTTTATCTGTTCAGAGTGTACATAGATGTACATAGATATGTGTAGAGCAAGTATTTCTCAAGGTACCCACAGCACTTAGCAGAATTTGACTAATCTCCCTACCATCTCTGTAAGAAAAAATGTGTTCTGGTTGGACAGTTGAGATCCAGATAGGCTTAGGGACTCACCCAGTTCCCTTATCATCAGCCCCTGGGGCCCAGCCTCCGGTTCCGTTCTCAGTCCCTGTTAGCATAGATTTCACCACTTTTGCTCTTTCCTGTCTTACACCAAGATTGTTTAAGTACTTCCCAAAAATAATGAGCCACGTGTGGGTGTGTTCATTCTCCAGAATGAATCACTGTGAAAGAGGCCATGAACCAACAAAAGGAGAATAAATATCTGGAATCAGAGAGATTTCTGACTGCTCTGCTACACTAATTGATGGACTCTGAAGTGAGCTCTTTTTAAACAGGCTACTGTGGGTTTGGCCTTGTGTGTCTCACCCTGCTCAGAATAGTCCTCTCTTGAAGTTGTTAATTTTCCCTTTCTTGCCTCCCGAAATAGCTCCAATGCTGTTCTCTTTGCTGGACATCACAGCATATATACTGAGAAGCATGCTCCTTACAGGGACCCCTCACTCCTGAATGTACACAGGGGTGTCAGGGGGAGATGAACTTTGTTGGAAGCAGGATTCCAGTGGGGTAAAAGAGAGTTGGACCAAGTATTCTGAGAGTTATAAAAGTTTAAATTACCAAAAGAATAAAAGAACAAATAAGGGCATTTGGGAAAAAAAAAAATGAGAAGGCCCTTAGTCTTTTTTGTGACTACCAGGGTTTAAATTGAAATTTAGGAGAAATTTGCTTTTAAAATTCTTTTTATGATTTGGATCCTGTTCTTACAAATACCTACTTTAAACTTCATGCCTTTAAGAACCAACACTACCTACGCTCTTTAGCAGGTAGCAACATGTTTTGGAATTTCTCCCAGAAGATAGGGATCTGATCAAAGGTTGTAAAAAAAAATACAACAGACTGGGCAGTGAGGTCAACCCTATCTGTGTACCTGCTGGTGCTGCCTCTCCTCAGTTTCCTCGAGTGGGAACAACAAGGGATTCTCTCATTTATAGAAAGCCTGCAGCAGGAGGGGTTAGACACTGAGACATTTAGAATCTGTCTTTGCATTTGAAAAGACAAGAGATGTCTTCTAGAGTATTGGAGAAAGACACAGAGATAGATTCTTTACAGCCTAAATGGAGTTAGGCCAGTGTGGCTTTTTGTGGGACCAGTTGCAAATGTCTCTCCTCCAGAGACCTTGGAGTGCAAGTCTTCCCCCTGAGTACCCAGACAGTGCTTATTGAATGTGCCACCTGGGACTTGATGGGCCTCCCCTCCAAGCACTGATGGATGAGTACCTTTCTCAGCACTGCGCGTCCCAGCCTTAGTGTTGTAGTGACCAAAGCCACATGTCTGCCCATTCCAAGAGGTCAGGGCTAGGTTAGGCTCATGGGAGACAGTGTTGGAAGAACCAACTGCTGCTGTCTGAGCTATTCTTGTTAGTCAGATAAATAAAGAATTGCAGATTCCAGGGCTGCAGAACAGGCTTTCAGAGGCGCCAAATTCATTTACAGTAATTTCCTGTCAGTGGCACACACTTAGCATGATACACACCTAGCAAAACTGATTAGTCACAGAGGTGATCATGTACACGGCCTCTTTGGGGGAAAACAACAAAAAAAAAAAACTGTAAGTGCTGTCCAGGGGCCTTTCAGAATGGGTTAAATTTATTGAGCACCTTTTAGGCATTATCTCATTTAGTCCTCATAATAACTTTGTGAGGTAGGCACTAAAATTCTCCTCTTTGGAAGACATTCTTTTTGGCCCTCATGAGAGGGACACCTGACATAGACTAAAGAGAAGAAACAGTGATGGAATGGTCAGGGGAAGCTTTTCAAAGGAAGTGGTGTTTGAGCAGAATTTTGAAGGCTTTTCGAAAGCAGGAAAAAAAAAAAGCTTTGCAGGAGAATGTGTGAGAGTGTGCGCACTACATTCAGGAAGCTGTAGGCGTGCCTCATGCCTGAGAGAGGAGATGGCTTGATTCTGGCTCCAAGGAACCCTGAGGTGGTTTTACATGGAAAAAGAGAGAGAGAGAGAAAGAGAGAGAGAGAGAGAGAGAGAGAGAGTGTGTGTGTGTGTGTCTGTGTGTGTGTGTAGGGGGGTGCCTCCTATCTTCTGTAGGAGAGATTCTATCCTCTCTGCAGGCCATCTTGGTTTGAATGAGAAGGTGGTTCCTCTGTCTCTCACAGGCATGGAATAGATCATTGAGAGGAATGGTGGGGTTCATCAGGCTTTATCTGTGAGCTGAAAAGGGTTGTGCTCCAGTTGAAGATATCTTTCTGGCCCCATCTCCATAAAAGTTTCTGTTTTGGAGCTTGAAGTATGCTAAGGGATTATATTCTAAATCTGGAAAAGGACCTGGAAAAGACCTCATTGTTGCTTTCAATGTCTACTCCCAAATCCCCTGCAGCTCTGCTATGTGCATGCACCAGCTGCCTACAGGCCAACTACACGTGTGAAACAGATGGGGCCTGCATGGTTTCCATCTTCAACCTGGATGGGATGGAGCACCATGTGCGTACCTGCATCCCCAAAGTGGAGCTGGTCCCTGCCGGGAAGCCCTTCTACTGCCTGAGCTCAGAGGATCTGCGCAACACCCACTGCTGCTATACTGACTTCTGCAACAAGATCGACCTGAGGGTGCCCAGTGGTAAGTGCATGTCCTTGTCAGACTATTGGCTCATCTTGGAGGTAGCGCACCTCCTCCTTCCATTTTCTGTGCTTTTCCCCCCTCCCTTGCCTTTTGAATGCTCCCTGAGATGACAAGGAATGGCATTCCTCTCAAGTTAGGTTTATAGATTGAGAATGAGAGAGGCAAATTTTCAAGTAAGTCCCAGAAGTGAGATCTGCATTTTGGATAGTGGCTGAACAGCGATGGGCAGCAGAGCCAGGCAGGAATCCCCACAGAGGATGTGGGACTGATCTGGAAAGAAATGGCACCAGAGCCTTGTGAAGGGGTCTGCTCTAGGAAGGGAGATGGGCAGATGTGAAGAGGGGCTAGAATTAGGAAAGGGTGGTGATCACAAAGTCTGCCATTTAGAAGGTATCACCAGGCAGATCCAAGGAGGAGAGATGCTGGAGCAGAGCCTAAAGGAGAGTGGAAACTGGCATTTATCTTGGAGGCTAAGGTGGGACCCTGACATGCTGTGAAGTTCCAAAGTGGGTTTGGTTTGACCATAGAAGGGACAATTCAACCAAAGAAGTTGGCATCGAGAGAATATAAGTAGATAGACAAGCCCAGTAAGACCAGAGAGAGATCAAAGGAATTTTAAAAACTTAAAACCTTGAGGGGGAAGGGCCCTTTCTCACTTGGAGGCAGTGTTGGAGATAAGTAAGGCCACAGCGTTCCCTTGTTTTTACTCTGTGTTCCTTCTCTTGTTTGACCCAGGTCACCTCAAGGAGCCTGAGCACCCTTCCGTGTGGGGCCCTGTGGAGCTGGTAGGCATTATTGCTGGCCCAGTCTTCCTTCTGTTTCTCATCATCATCATTGTTTTCCTTGTTATTAACTATCATCAGCGTGTCTATCACAACCGCCAGAGACTGGACATGGAAGATCCCTCATGTGAGATGTGTCTTTCCAAAGACAAGACGCTTCAGGATCTTGTCTACGATCTCTCCACATCAGGGTCTGGCTCAGGTACTGAGTTCTGTAGGCGCTGTGTCTGTTGGCCCTCATGACTGTTTCCCAGCAGGAGAGTGTGTGTGAGGAAGGCCGGAGCCCTGTGCTTGTTTCTACTAGCACTGAGTCATTTGGTTTCATAATTTCCCTTTTTTTGGAGTCTGACGTGTAATAAGATATGATAATGGGTTCACAGAAAATCTTTTATACCCTGGGATTCCAAAGGATAAGTGCAAAACTCATTGGAGAAACCCTGCCTCCCTTCTTCTAGTCTTGTACCCATACATCTATTAAAATTCAGCTGGTTCCACCTGAGCAGTGGAGTGCTCAATTGAAGGGCCCCTTTTGAGAAACAGGAGTGTGCTGGATTTCTGTGAGGTGGTGACAGCTAATCATTGATCTCTGAGCAACCACAAGGGGAGTTTAAGGACATTGAGTAAAGCTAGAGTTGGGATTTGGTGAATCATTGACTTGTACCATTGCCCAAGGGTTTTTTGGAGGGGGTTACCATAAAAGCAGTTTGGGCTTCCAGCAGAGCATCAGCTCCATTTCCTGTAGTGCCTGTTGTTGACCAAGTCTTTCTTAGATGGGGACGATGAACCCAACGCTGGACCTTGGCATGAGACCAGAATTTTGGATGGAGGGAATTGAGGTTATTCAGGTCTTGGGGCATAGCTCAGCAATTAGATGGGAACATGACTACAAAAGACTTTTTTTTTTTTTGGTAATGAAAATAAACTGTTACTTTAGTCATAATGATATTCCATTCTTCCAAAAAACAACAATAACAACTCAGCCTTGGAGATCAGCATTGCTGTTCTAGTTAGAACACACAGAATCATATTTGTGAAAATGTTTTTATGTTTCCTTACCATGGGACATGCTATGTTCTGTAGGGAAATTATGCCATCCATCATGGCCAGACATTCCTTCTTGAACACAGGAATACTTTGAGCTGTGACATCTCCTGAATTTCAGTGGTTTCGCTTTTATTAAGCTCGGCAGTAGAGAGCACCAAAATGATGGATATATTTAAAAGCTCCTTATTTTTAGAAACAGAGAAAATACATAGCTGTTCTTTGCTAAAAGAGGTGGGGCAGTGGTTAGACCTGCCTGGTTGATTCTGTGACTTGACTTGCTCTTGGAGGACCGTGGCTTGAGTGTTCCAGAGTGTTTCAGATCCAGGACCAGCTGAGGCTAGTGAGGCATGGTGTTTATTTACTTATCTGGAGTAAAATGGTTATGACTATTTCTCTCTGGGTGGTTTAGTCCTTTCCCAGGACAGAAGGTAAAGAACTTCCAAGGTGTTGGATTTTTTATTTATGTTTATTTTTTTTAGTTATAGGTAGGCACAATATCTTTATTTTATTATTTTATTTTTATGTGGTGCTGAGGATTGAACCCAGTGCCTCATACATGCTAGGCTGAGCCCCAGCCCCAGCCTCATGTTGGATTTTTTAATAATGTGGTTTTTGAAGTCCAATGTGGTTTTTGAAGTCCATGCTGCTTATGTTACTTGCAGTTCATTTTAACAAATGTATGCTGAATACCTTCTGGGAACAAAGATTTAAAAAAAAAAAAAAAGACTGATCCAGGATTGGATAGAAGAGACAGGGATTATGGGTAAAAATCTTAAAGAGGAGATGTAGTTAAAGGAGTTGGAATTTTTAAGAAAGGGGAGAGAATATTCTGGGCCAAGGAAAACACCTTGAATGAAAGGACAAAAAGACATGAAAGTTTATAGTATGTATGTTTAAGGACTTAGGATAAGAAGGCCAGCATGGTGTGTCCCGGCTAGGTGGCTGAGGAAAGACAGGCTAGCCCGGGTGTGAAGGATCTTAGGAGCCATACTTCATCTTAGAGATAAGAGGCATCTACTGAAAGTTTTCACTTGGGAAAATGTTCATATTTTTTTCCTTTGAAAGGAATTCTGACAGTGATGTGGAGGATGAATTTGTTCATTTACCAACCTCCTGTGAGGAAGGGTGGGGTGAGGCAGGGCTGTGTGTGGGTGTGTAGGGCAAGAGCAGGGTGCGATGAAGGCAGAAAGACCAGTTGGAAGTCTTTTAAAAGAAGGGCCAACTGGGTATGGTGCTCCACACCTGTAGTTCCAGTGATTCTGAAGGCTGAGGCAAGAGGATGGCAAGTTTGAAGCCAGCCTCAGACACTTAGTGAGACCCTGTCTCAAAATTAACAAAAATAAATAAATAAAGGGAGGGAGAGAGGGGCTGGGGATGAGGCTCCGTGGTAAAGCGTCCATGGGTTCGATCCCCAGTATATAAGTAAATGAATGAATGGCTGGAGTAGCACAGGGGATGGAAAGGAAGGAAGGGTCCAATTTGAGAAACATTTTGGTGGTTCTTTATTGTTGTAGTTGAAAGCATGGACTATGTCCTGGATTTTAATCCCTGCTTTGTCACTTTTGCTTGTATGAATTTGGATGAGTTACATAATGTTCCTTTCTGAGTCTTATTCTTCATTTTCTCATCTGCAAAATGGGAATAATAATACTTACTGTACAGGTGGTTGTGAGGAAATGAGACAATTTATGTAGGTCTTTAGCATAGAGCTTCATGCATAGTAAGCACAGCAAACAGTAGTTCACATGCATCAAACTGGGGATAAATAACAGTTATTATTGATTGTGGGAAGGAGTGAGAGTTTGAGTCAGTTGTGATGGGAATGGTGATTGGATAGATAGAGAGATAGTGTATGAATCAAATGAAGCAGTAAAAAATCAGTAAAATTAATCTTAAAATTAGTATGGATAGTCTTCCATCTCTGACTGGATTCTACCTATGAGCAGAACGTTGATCTCAGACTGCCTGGGCTTTCATTAGCCACACACCACTGCCCCCTAGTGGCTGATGAGCAGAGCGGCTCTGGGTCCTTAAGTCCTGACTTTCATCTTTTTCTGGTTCCATCAGAATAAAGCAGATCCGTGGGTAGGTTGGCCCACAGGTGGCTGGATACAGAGTTGTTAAATCTGGTCAAACACTTACATTCAAATCCATTATCCAGACTAACTAGAGGAGAAATTGCTTTACTAAAGAATAGCTAATCATAGGCATTTCTCTTTTTGTTCACTCACTTCCAATTTCTGTCTGGCTCAGCCTGTCAGTAGAGTCACTAGACATGGTGCAGGGGCTCATGGAGCTTTCCATGTTAAAGGACGGGGTAGAATGGAGGACCTTTTCAGGATAGCAGTGAGTGTGGAAATTCCAAAGTTTAGCAAATTTGTAATGTCTGATTTCTTTCTGTTCTTTGATTCACAGGGTTACCTCTCTTTGTCCAGCGCACAGTGGCCCGCACCATTGTTTTACAGGAGATTATCGGCAAAGGCCGGTTTGGGGAAGTATGGCGTGGCCGCTGGAGGGGTGGTGATGTAGCTGTAAAAATTTTCTCTTCTCGTGAAGAACGGTCTTGGTTCCGGGAAGCCGAGATATACCAGACAGTCATGTTGCGGCATGAAAACATCCTTGGATTTATTGCTGCTGACAATAAAGGTAAAGGGCTTGGCTGGGGATACAGGTAGGGCATCCCAAAGTCAACAAGATTCTTCAATGAAGGGATAGCTGGAGAAATTGAATTGCTCTTTGCTTCTAAGTTATTGCCCATAAAAGAGAGTCTGAATAAGGTCATAGTTTTCAAATGCTTCAAGATGTAGAACCTTTTATTCCATGAAAAACTTACATAGAAACCCAAGTTATTGAGCAGATAAACAAAATACACACCCTCACTTTACCTGCTAGGTTTCTCTTCTTTGCTTTTTATTTTTTGTTTGATACTGGAGATTGAACCCAGAGGTGCTTAACCACTAAGACACATCCCCAGCCCTTTTTATTTTGAGACAAGGACAGGTCTCTAAGTTGCTGAGGCTGGCTTTGAACTTTTAATCCGCCTCTTCAGCCTCCCAAACCACTGGGATTACAAGCATGCACCACTGCACCTGGTTTGGTTTCTTTTCTTGACATTCTCCAAAACCCACCTCTAGTGTAGTCTCTGTAGGAGCTCCACTGTGTGTGTGTGTGTGTGTGTGTGTGTGTGTGTGTGTGTATGTATGTGTGTATGAAGCATGGTGTTTACTTACTTATCTGGAGTTAAAAATATATATTTATTTATTTATTTAACCAAGATAGACACAGTACCTTTATTTTATTTCTTTATTTTTATGTAATGCTGAGAATTGAACCCAGTGCCTTACACATGTCAAGCAAGCGCTTTACCATTGAGCTACAACTTCAGCCCCACTAAGTCTATTGGAAAATTGCTAGAATGAGGAATTGTGGTCTCACCCCTGCTAGGAAAGGATAACCATAGAAAAGTAATAAGTCCATGTTCTGTGACATACTAGCATTATATATACTTGTAGTGGAGCAGCCACTAAAGAACAAAGATCTGCCTGTACCCAAAATGTCACCTAGTAGCTTTTTTGGCTTTTGACTTGACTCTTACCTGAGGTCCCTTATTTTCTCCCCCTCTCCTCCTTTCTTGCTTTAGTTTTGAGTCTCATGCATGTGCCCAGGTACATCCCTATTTTTGAGGACCTCACTGACTAGTAAACTTACAATTGATTATAGGACGCAACCCAAGGCTGTGCTAGTGAGCACACATTGGAGGTGAGTCACAATTAAGCTTGATTGAGTGAAAGGTGGCAGGAATTGGCCAGGAAGAAATATCAGTAGGGAGGGCTCTGAAGACATGTGCAGAGATGAAGTGTGTTGTACGCTGCACATAACTTGGAATGGCTATGTTGCTGCAAAAGACTGGTGGAGAAGTAAGCAAAGGCTAGGTTATAATGGGCCTTTTTGAGAAGATTCTGTTTTATTGAAAGTTAAGTGTAGTAACTGGAATCTTATTCATTAAAATCAGTAGCATTTATTAACCACTGTGGGCCAGGACCTCTGCCAACTGCTCAGATCATCACATATAAACACAAGAGAGTTTCTGCCCTCACAGAGCTCACAGAAGGAGAGGAGCATTCACCTGGCAGTCGTGCAGCTAGAGCACAGAGAGGGCCATGAGGGGACTCGGTTCACATTTTAAAAGAGTCTCTGGCAATTGTATTCTTGGCATAGTGACTTAGAAGTTAGTGTCTATAAAGCCCAGGGAAGATGCTAAATATTTGTTTTTTCTTCCTAAAACAACAGACTGCTTATTCCTCACATTGCTGTGGAGGTTGGTGATAGCCTCAGCTACCCCCAAGTTAGAGATTCTTAGGATTGCATATAGGAGAAAAAAGGGAAGGAGAATGTTTTACTCCCTCTGAGTAAGCTACTCCTCTTTAAAACAGCATCACCTTTTGACAAAATATAAATCTTACGTACATTTTTTTAAAAATATTTTTTTATTATTGATGGACCTTTATTTATTTATTTGTTTATATGTGGTGCTGAGAATCAAACCCAGTGCCTTACACATCCTAGGCAAGCACTCTCCCACTAAGCCCCAGCCCCAGCCCCTCTTCCATACATTTGACAGGACCCAAACATGTCTTTTTCTTAACTTACCAGCAGGGTCCTCAGGACTAGGTGACTGGTAGAGGGTGGGAAGCCATGTGTTAGGTGGGCCCTTGAGTGTGATAAAAGAAGCCAAGGTTTGTAATTTCCAGCAGCCACTCCCTTTATTGATTCTGGCAGCTTGTGTAAGTAGGGATCTGGCTGTCGAAGCCCCTGCTAGGGCCAGGGAAGGAGAAAAATTGGTCTCCTTCATTCTTGCCTTTTTAACCATGTGACATATTTAGTATGAAATATAGTGAAACCAGTGCCAGCCTGGAATTTGGGAGCTCTTGATCCAATTTCCAGTCTTCCTTGTGACAGCAGCATGGCTTAATTAGATTATTGGCTTTTGTATTTCTTTTTTCCTTTCTTCCTTCCTCTGCCCTCCTCCATCCCACAGCCCTATGTAAAAAAGAGAAAATAAAGTGTATGCTAGCCACCTCCACACATTTTACAAAGGGTAAGATGGTCTTTCTGGGAATACTGGGAAGTGAATAATTCATGCACTGAAAGACATTTTTTGACCTGAAATACCACAGTGCAAAAGGAGATCTTTCCTGTGTTCACAGACAGCTCCTAGCCTGATGAGAGCAACAAACCGAAAAGACACTTTACAGTGAGGCAGGTACTGTGCTCAGGCTATTTTGAGAGGGTCATTGGAGCAGAGAGGAGGACTTGCAAGGCCTTCCTCTGTGTTGGAGGTGAGTGCAGGCCACTGCTGTTCATTCTTGATGGGCGAGTCTTGTCAGGAGCAGTGTTGATAAAACTGACCAAGCCTGTTACTTTCTTTAAGCATATGCGTTTCCTCTCCTGATACCTCACATTTTTAATTTGGCAGAAAAGTGGAGTGCTGTTCGGAATCCTACAGCCCACCTGAGAGAAATAAGAGAGCAGCCCAGGAGAGGTGTACTGTTCCTCTGGCCTCATTGGAGCTACTGTAGATGAGACTGGCCAGGGGGGCATCAGGAGGTGTGGAGGCAAGAAAAGTGAATTCAGGCCAGTGACTGGATCTCAGGTTGTACACATTCTTCTGTGTTGCTGCTAGTAATGCCTTTTCTGGAAATCATCTCTGTTCTCTGCAGATAATGGCACCTGGACACAGCTATGGCTCGTCTCTGACTACCATGAACATGGCTCCTTGTTTGATTATCTTAACCGCTACACAGTAACCATTGAGGGCATGATTAAGTTGGCCCTCTCTGCTGCCAGTGGCTTGGCACACCTACATATGGAGATTGTGGGCACTCAAGGTGAGTGGAACCAGCTGAGAAATGGGGTGCTCGATAGACTAAAAGCTATCCATACTGATTTTGTTCTTAGAACTCCCTTTTACCAAAAGAGTCAAGGCTGGACCTCAGGAACTGTAATTTAGTCTGAAGGACAGAGGTTAGAGCTTGTTTGCATAAAACCAAAGACATACAAGCGTTCTCCCTATACTTAGGGAAATTTGTAACATCAGCATTCAGCTATTTGACAGTGGCGTGACATAGTCATTTGTTAAGGAATAATCCTCTCAGATGCCCACAGGACACATGTAAAAGAATGGAACTTAAAAGATAAACCAGTGTGACAGAGGCATCAGTTTAATAATTTCACACATTCGTTGCTGGGAATAGCTGGCTTATAGTTAGATCCTAGGCTCTACTAATCTAGAAAGGTTTTCCTGGAGGAAAAAAACCTGAAGCTTTGCTGCTTGTTGTTTGTCAGCTTCTAGGGGATATTCTGGGTAGGCCACGGTGCAGGTGTGATTCCTGGTACCTGGTTGACTGGGGCAACAGTCCTTGATGAGCACAGTAGGAAACCAGCTATACCAGCTGGATTCTGTTCCTAGCCTCTGCACTGATATCAGCAGTTCCCATCCTCAGGCTTGTGTGGTTTTGAGAACCAGCCAAGACAGGAGCTTCTCTTTTGAGTTCCTCAGCAGCTCTATACCTGAGCTGCTTAGGGTAAAAGAGTGGTAATAGTATTATTAGTAATGTTACCTAATACTCAACGTGCTTCTGAGGTCTTTACTTACATTCATGAATGCATTTTCCTCACAACATTCCTGTGAAGTAAGTACTGTCATTCTGATTTTCTGGATGAGAAGACTGAGGTACACATGGGATCATTGGGTTAGCAGGAGACAAAGCCAGGACTCAAACCCACACAGTCTGGCTGCTGACTCTATGCTTTTAACATTTATGCTATCTTTCTTTAAAGATCTCTGTTTTTTTCTCTGCCAGGGAAGCCTGGAATTGCTCATCGAGACTTAAAGTCAAAGAACATCCTGGTGAAGAAAAATGGCATGTGTGCCATCGCAGACCTGGGCCTGGCTGTCCGTCATGATGCAGTCACTGACACCATTGACATTGCCCCAAATCAGAGGGTGGGAACCAAAAGGTAGGAAGGCCCTGGCCTCAGCCCTGCTCAATGGCTTTTACTACGCATCCCATATGTGCCCTTTCCATATGCACAGGAAGAGGTGTAGAAAAAGGAGGTGTGGTCTTTGCTCTCAGGCAGCTAGAAGTTCAGTTGAACATCCATGTCCCACACTAGAAAGAACACAGTTGCATCAGACAGATACAAGTACCACCACAAGTACAGCTCTGTAGAATCGTATATGTATAGGTGCTGGTGCTGTTGTGGGTGGAGAGACAGTGGAGGAAGAGAAACTGGAGCAGGATTTGGAAGAGGAGCTAGGGAAAGAGGGGAACATTGCAGTCCAAAGGGGTGGTTTGTGCAGAGGCCCTGGAGGAAGCAGGGAATGTGTTTTGTCTGGGGTTTGGAGAAGAGGTTTGCCAAACTAGAGCAGAGGTAATCTAGGGTGGAGATTGAAATACCCATAGGGATCATGGGCCTGCTTCCCACTTTGTTGAGAAATAAAGTAATAAGGAATGTATGTGGTTGACCTTGCAAGTTGGAAGTGGAACTCTCTCTTTTTACCAACATAAAAGAGGGAGTCTGCTGAACCTAAGTGAATTTCCTTCAGTTGTGCTGCTGCTTTTTGTCCTTTAGACCTGAATGATTGCAGCTACCCAAGCCCCATAATGTGGGTCCTGAGGTGATGCCTTGATTTATTATGGGGGATGGTGACTCAATTTGTAGCGCTTACTCACTATTACCACTCAGTCAATAAGGGTGACTTTGATCACCTCTAGAATTAATCTGCACCTACCTGCAGTCAGGTATGATAGATAATAAGAGAAGTTTAGAATGAAATTTAAGCTCAGCCCATCACTGTGGCTACATTTAATAAAATGAAAGGCTCCACTATGTCCTTTTCCAGCCATGTGTCCCACAGAGCTAGTAACTGTGTCAGGAAATCAAAACAGGCTTCAACAAACAAATCTTGATGGTTAAAAAAACAAACAGGACTGGTGATGTAGTTCTGTGGTAAAGGACTTGCCTAAAATGCAGGAGGCCCCAGTACCACATACATACATACGTTGCCACAGTCTGACTGGGCACAAGATCACCAGCCACTCACAGCCTTGTAGATTCAAACAGCAATTCTTTATTCCCGAACTCACACCGGCCATCCACAAACATGTTCTGGGGAAATCACGTTCTCCCACAAAATTCACATACTCCACCAGGCTTTTAATCCCAAATACTTTCTGAATCTCAAGGGAACTCAAGGATCAGGCGTGCCTGAGGTAGCAGGATACGCCCTATTCCTGGCAGGGTACACCTTAAACCTGGAACCGCCCTAAACCCAAGGATGGGATACTCCCTAAAACCAGCAGGATACACCCTAAACCTGGATCCGCCCTAATCCAGTAGGATCCTCCCTAAACCCCGATCCACCCTGGTCCTTGAGCAGGGTCACCTTTCTCAAGCATACATGCAATGTCACAGCGAGAATGCCCAAGGCAAGTCCATTTCCACGAGTCCTTCCTCTAAGCAACATGGGGTACGTTGGCAAGGAAATTTCGATGTGTCATTCCTACTTGGCAATGGCTCTCAGCAATACATATACACATACATACTTACTGGTATCCTACTATTCCCAGGTCTGATATTGCTGAAGTATTTAGGTTCAAGTCCAAAACATGAGAGTGTGCAATGAAGAGAAGTGCTTACTTCAGCCCCCCAAGGGCCCCCGATCAGTACTTCGATTTAAAGAAAACAGCCAGGTGTGGTGGTACACACCTGTAATCCCAGCTACATTTGAGTCTGAGGCAAGAGAATTCTAAGTGCAGCCTGGGAAACTCAGCAAAACCCTGTCTCAAAAAAAAGGAAGCTGGGGATGTAGCCCTGGTACCATAAAAATCATAATAATAAAGTGCATAATCTTCACGTTCTGTGCGTAACTGTGTTTCTTTTGCTGTTGCAGATACATGGCCCCTGAAGTACTCGATGAAACTATTAATATGAAACACTTTGACTCCTTTAAATGTGCTGATATCTATGCCCTTGGGCTTGTATATTGGGAGATTGCTCGAAGGTGCAATTCTGGAGGTACTTTGCTCTTTTACCTGCTTCTGCTCCTGCTTCAAGTTCCAGCATAATGGTTCACCTAAGGGTGGTGATATTTTACTGCCCCCCCCCTCCTTTTCTTGGGTGCCTGGTGCCAGATCCCAAGTTACACTCAGGGTTCTCATCAAGGGTGCAGAACCCTGGAAGCAGTTGTAAGGGTGTGTTGACAGTTCAGACCAGCTTGTTGAATACTGTTAACCATTCTGGAGGCTCATTTGGCCTCTTTTTTTTTTTTTTTTAAAGCATTGACTTTATTATTAGAGGTGGGAAATGCCCTTGGCATGAACAGCCCAGGTTTAATACAGGAATCTCCTTAAATCGGGGGCAATGTGTTCTGACACACTGGCTGAGCCCCAGGAAGTGAACCATGTTCTTGGGAAACCTTGGTGTTCATGACTGCTGAAATAGTAGAAATTTGTAGGAACACATAGAATTTTCTCAAAATGAGTATTTTTCCCCATGATTAAAAAATATTTGGCATTTGCAATGGCTTATTCATGTCAGAATAGATAATATCAGATTTAGCAGAAAACACTTTATTGTCAGCTTATTTATCTCTGATGAAAGAGATCCCAGGGCAGTGGAAGTGGTTGAATTAAAAAGAACTAGTAAGTCTTCCAACAGAACCCTTTTGTCTGTTATTGCCCTTTTCCATCTATGATATTTTTGGTAAGATTCAGATAATGGAGGAAGTGCCCAGGTATTATTAAATTTTGATTAGTATATATACAGATAAAACAAATTAAGAAAAATCTGAATACATGGGCCTTAAAATGTGAATAAATTCATTTCTTCTTTCTCATGACATCCAGACATTGGGGCTTAGTATGTAAAAATACTAACATGTATTCACCATTGCTGTATATAAACTCAATTTAATCTTTACCACATACTTATGAAGATAGTTATTATTTATTACCATCATTTTACAGATGAAGAACATAAATCAGAGAGAGGTTAGGTAAATTATCCAAGGTTACATAACAACTAGAATTGAAGCACGAGCAGGCTGAAGCTAAAACTTAAGCTCTTAACTATCCCTCAGATAATTACCAAGTCAAACTTTGTTTAAAAATCTTTTTTATTAGCTCACAACAGCAGGGCTTTTGGGTTTTTGTTTTCTGGAAAAAGATATGAGAAAATTACTTTTTTTTTTTTTTTTTTTTTTGTGTGTGTGTGTGTGTGTATGTGGTTTTGGGCATTGAACCCAGGATGCAAGATGTTGGTAGTGGGGGAATCTGTGCATGTGTTGGGATGCATGGCAACTCTGTATACTTTGTGTTCAATTTTGCTATGAGTCCAAAACCATTATACAAAATAAAGTATTTTTTAAAAGTGAATATTAATTCTTAATATCATCTAGTCAGTGTTGAGATTTACTATTTATCTCCTAATCTTTTTAAATACTTTGTTCAAGATCAGGATCCAAATACATTCCACCACTGCAGTCCATTGAGGGACTTGTTAAGTCTATTCTAGTCTCTAATTCCCAGTTCCAATTGTTTTATTCTTCACTTTATTTTATTTTAGAATCCACATCATTTGTCTAGTGAAGTTTCCCAGCTTAGATTTTGCCTATTGCCACCCATGGATTTCACACATTCTTTCTTGTGTTTTCAATGAATTAGTAGTTTAAATCTAGCAGCTGGAATTGTACCTGGGTTCTTGTTTTGTTTTCATTTTCTTTAATATCCTTCATAGATGTTACTCTGAACTTCTGTTACAAGGCACATAATAGCAGTTATTTCTCATTTTGTGAATTTAGCAACCAAGGATGATCGTTGTCCAGATCCAAATTCATTAAAGGTTTAAAAGTTGTCTGCATCCTGATTTCATTAATATTCTGTGAATTACCTGGATTTTTTTTTTTTTTGCTGTGTAGCCATCAGATCCAGGTCCTTAACATGCTAGGCAAGTGTCCTACCAGTGAGCTATGTCCCCAGCCCTTGAAAGTGAAATTTACCCAGTTATCTATTTGGTTATCAAGATGTATAGTTTGTTTTGTTTTGTTTTATTGGTACTGGGGATTGATCCCAGGAGTGCTTAACTACTGAGCCACATCCCCAGCCCTTTTATTTATTTATTTATTTATTTTATGTGGTGCTAAGAATCGAACTCGGTCCCGCATGTGCTAGTTGAGTGCTCTATCGCTGAGCCACAATCCCAGCCCCCTTTTATTTTTTTTAATTAGAGACAGGGTTTTCCTAAGTTGCTGAGGCTGGTTTTGAACTTTGATCCTCCTGCCTCAGCCTCCCAAGTTGCTAGAATTAAAGGTGTGCACCACTACACCCTGCAAGATGTGTTAGTTTAGATTAGAAAAAGCAGGAAAAATATTTGACTCTTTCCATTCATTTACATTTTTCAAAACAATAGCATCCTACAAAGGTGACTGAGGTTTCTTTTGTCAGAATTGTTATGAACTAGAGGATTTTAAAATACTTATTTCCATCAAATTTTTAATAATAACTTTATTTATTTGTTTGTTTATTGTATGTGGTGCTGAGGATCGAACTCAGTCCCTCTCACGTGCTAGGCAACTGCTACCACTGAGCCACAACCAGCCCTCCATCAAATCCATTAGTGTTATTATTAAATGTTTTAATCTTTGGCCAACTAGTGGCAGAGCTGTGAGGTAGGAAACCAGCCCTTGGCACACCAGAATTGTCCAGAGGATCCAGAAGTGTAGCCCCTTTCCCTATCTGGGCAGAGCTATAAAGTAGAAGACTTCTTTGTTTCCTGTGACTTTTCCCATTTACCTGACTTTTGCACCTCAGAAAAGAGTTTTTCAAGCTGAGTATGGTGGCATGTAATCTCAGTTACCTGAGATGAGAGACTGAGGCAACAGGGTAGTAGTTTTAATCTTTTTATTCTTGATAGTTTCTGTGCTTCGTGGCTTAATGTTGCAGGTTTCTTATGTGTGTGTGGGGGGGTGGTTTTGGAGTTTTTCTGTTTTTGTTGTTTATTTTTGAGACATTGCCTAAACTGGCCTCAAACTCCTAGGCTCTAGCTATCCTCTTGTTTTATCCTTCAAGTGTTAGGACTACAGGTCGGTACCATGGCACCCAGCTCTACTATTGTGTATGTCTTGTCCCATGCCTGGAATCCACCACCTCCTCCAAGGAGACTTCCTTCATCTTAGTGGGAGATGACATTTACAAATCACAATATTGTCACTGGTTTGGAGTAATCTCTCCTTCTTTCTGTTGATAACTCAGGTAGACATTTTCATTTCTCCCAGGAGTCCATGAAGAATATCAGCTGCCATATTACGACTTAGTGCCCTCCGACCCTTCCATTGAGGAAATGCGAAAGGTTGTCTGTGACCAGAAGCTACGTCCCAATATCCCCAACTGGTGGCAGAGTTACGAGGTAGGAAACTTCCTTGCTTCCTGTGATTTTTCCCATCTACCTGACTTCTGTACCTCAGAAAAGAGTTTTTCAAGCTGAGCATGGTGACACCTATTATCTCAGTTACCTGAGATGAGAGACTGAGGCAGCAGGGGAGTACTAAGCCAGCTTCGGCAACTTTATGGGATCCTGTCTCAAAAAGGGCTCGGGTTGGAGCTCCATGATAGAGCACTTTTCTAGCATGTGCAAGACCCTGGATTCAATCTTCAGCCCATAAAATAAGAATATACCACTCCCAGGTACTCCTTGAATCTATAATAAAATCTAAAATAAAACTTGTTGATCACCATCATAATGCCACAAATGAAAATTCCACACCTAATCTCCATTGACAGGTCAACCTGACCTCATGTGATAGGTTGCAGTCAAAATGCATGTGCTTTTGGGTGCGGTGGTGCACGCCTGTAATCCTAGCTACTCGGGAGGCTGAGGCAGAAGGATCCACAAGTTCAAAGCCAGCCTCAGCAACTTAGGACTTAAGTAACTTAATGAGACCCAGTCTCAAAAAGTAAAAAAGATGGGGATATGCCTCAGTAGTCAAGTGCCCCCTCCGTTAAATCCCCAGTACCACCATGCTCACCTGTTGTCCCAGCAGCTTGGGAGGCTAAAGCAGGAGGAGTCAAAGTCAGCATCAGTAACTCAGCAAGGCACTTAACAAGTCAGTGAGACCCTGTCTCTAAATAAAATATTAAAAAACAGCTGGAGCCAGGTGCAGTGGCGCACTCCTGTAATTCCAGTAGCTTAGGAGGCTGAGGCAGGAGGATTGCAAGTTCAAAGCCAGCCTCAGCAACATCAAGGTGCTAAGCAACTCAGTGAGACCCTGTCTCAAAATAAAATACAAAATAGACCTGAGGATAGTGGTCAAGTGTCCCCGAATTCAATCCCTGGTACCCTCCCCTCCCCCCAAAAAAAGAAAAAGAAAACAAAAATGGCTGAGGATGTGACTTGTGGTTAAACACACCGGAGTTCAATCCCTGATACAGAAAAAAAAAAATCCCTGAACCAAAACCAAAAACAAAACAACATAAGATACTTGTAAAACATAAATAAATTTTGTGTTCATACTTGGGTTCCATTCCCAAGATACCTCATAATGTATATGCAAACATTTCAAAATCTGAAAGAATCCAAATCCATAACACTTCTGGTCCCAAGCATTTCAGATAAGGGATACTCAACCTTTACTTTTCTATGGTATTATTCACTGAGCCCTCTGAGGCTGTAGTCATTTGTTCTGGTTAGCTGTAGGGTGCCCTTTAGAGGCACCATCCTAGTATAGAAGAAAAAGGTTCCTTCTGATCACAGATAAGGGAGGTAAGTGGTCAACAAGAGACAGAAACAAAAGGTGTTTGGGAGGTGTTAGACCTGTTGTACTAGAAAAACAGCTGTAGAACCACAGGTGTGGCCAGCTATAGAAAAGAGTTAGGGAGAGGCATCTATATGAGAAGGCTGGAGACTGTAGCAGAAGGGAACCATGTCTGAGCAAGTGGTCTTTGTAAAAACTCAGAAGAGAAAGTAACAAGTGTGAAGGAGTTGGGGTAAGGAAAGAGAATTACAATTTGGTACCAATGGTAATGAAATGGGGAGGGACAACATTTGGTGGGAATAGTTGAAATGGGGACAAATCTGTTACATCTCTTTCTAACTAGCATGGGGTTCTGAGGTCTTAGAGCCTTGAGGGGAGCAAGATTGGCCGAGCTGAATGCACATGGGCTGCCTTTTCACTTTGTAATCCTGCTGTTCTTTCTACTTATTTATGTATTTCTCCAACTTTATTTGAGAAATAGTTGACATGTGCTGATTTTAATCTGTGTATATTATGAAAGGATTACCACAGTTTAGTTAACATCTGTCAGTTTAGTTAAGATCAGTATTGTTAACTCAGGTTGCTGTGCAGTGCACTGGGCTCCTCCCAAAGTGCTAATCTTCCAGTAGAACAGTAGAGGTCATTGCAGCCTTTTATGAGTGTAACCACTAGAGGGCATTTCTGCCTTTAAGAACCAAATTACTCAGCTCACATTTGAGTGGATGCCTTCTCATTACACAATAGAACAGCATTTTCCAAAGTATTTCTTCAAGTGCCTCAGGTTAGGTTTACTTGAGAGTGAGACTGAGAATAAAAGAGCCAGCCTTAGCTGGAGCTTTTCCCTTCCACTACACAGCTTATCCCTCAAGGAAGGAGAAGTTTGAGAATCATTTTCCTGCTGGAGGGGCTGGGGGCTGGCAGATTGTAACAGACTCAGCCTTGTGGGAAAGCAGCAGGGAAACTAGCCAGTGCTTAACTAGGGACCAGAAAGACTTCTCTGGTTGCAGTCAAGTTGACAGCCCTTTGTCTCTGCAGGCATTACGGGTGATGGGGAAGATGATGCGGGAGTGCTGGTACGCCAACGGCGCAGCCCGTCTGACTGCGCTGCGCATAAAGAAGACCCTATCACAACTCAGTGTGCAGGAAGATGTGAAGATCTAGCCTGTTCTCTCCCCTGCACACAACCCTGGGCAGCGAGAACTATGTGCAGCTGCCGTGTTGAGCGTACAGTGGAGGCCTACCTCTCGTTTCTGCCCAGCCCTCTGTGGCCAGAGCCCTGGCCCTGCCAGAGGGACAGAGCCCGGGAGACACGCTCACTCCCATGTTGGGTTTGAGACAGACACCTTTTATATTTACCTCCTGATGGCATGGAGACTCTGAGAGCAAATCGTGTGGAGAACTCAATGCCACAACTCAAACTGGTTGCAGTGGGAAGTCCACAAAACCCGGTGCATCTGGCACTTAGCCAGGAATGGTGAAAGGGTGGCCGGGGAGGGGCTAGGAGGAGCCAAGTTGTTGCCCTCCAGGGACCAGCCCGTGGCACACCAAAGTGGTCCAGAAGTGTAGCCCCTTTCCAGGCGGCTCTGAGCCACGTGCTCCCCTCCTCCTTACACAGACATCTTGAGGACTGCCAGTGGAGACGGAACCTGCTGCCTGTCTGTCCAGCCATGTGTGCATGTGCTGAGGTGCGTCCCCTGTTGTGCCTGGTCTGTGCCACGCCCTTACACGTGTGTGTATGTGTGTGTGTTTAGGTATGCACTCGCTTGAGCTTTCTGTGCATGTGCAGGCCAGGGGTGTGGTGTCATGCTGTCTCTGCGTGCTGGTGCCTCTCTTCATAGTGAGCAGCATCTAGTTTCCCTGGTGCCCTTCCCTGAAGGTCTCTCCTTCCCTTCCCCCAGAACCTGCCCAGTGGCACTCTCTTCCCAGCTGGCTGCTCTGCCTGCCTTGTGTCAGCACAGTTTTCTATTTCAGGCTGAGGAACCGAAGCTGGCCCAGTTGTCCATGGCAAGAGAGGGTTTTGGGTCAAAATGTGATGCTGGGGATGGGGGACCCAGGGAGGGCAGGGAAAGAATTTCGGTGGAAGTCTTAGGTGTTGTGGTCAGCCTCAACCGTGGGAAATGAGCTGGCCCAGCACATCGTCCTCAGCAGCATCAAGGAAGGGCCAAGGAATCCAAAGCTAGATCTTGGGATTCAGATTGGAATGTCACATCTGTCTGTCCCATCCCAGATTCTACGAACAGCAGTGTATATTTTTGGTGGTGGTGGGTTTGGGGTGGGGAAGGGGAGGGGGGCTGATTTGGGGGGGAGTCTGGGTGGGAGGGAGGCATCTGCATGGGCCGCCTTTTACTGGATTATCTGATCAGAGTGGAGGGAAGATGAGAGATTTGCATCCACTTCAGGGGCCCTACTAAAGGGAATAGCCTGAGCTGAACATGTTATTTAACCTAAGTATAGTATTTAATGAAGTCTAGAAGCACGGTTTTGGGTGGTGATTTGGTCAGCATATCTTAGGTCTATAATAACTTTGAAGCCATAACTTTTAACTGGAGTGGTTTTATTTTTATTTTATTTTATTGGGAGGGTCTGGATTTTAACTTTTTTTAATAATATTAAGTTTTTGTAAAAGGAAAACCATCTCTATGTGATAATTACCTCTCAACCTATTTGTTTTTAAAGAAATCCCTAAAAAAAAAAAAAAAACTCTAATCAAGCGCACATAGCTCAATCACACTGGAAGTGTTTGTCCTTGTACCTGAGCCTGTTCCCACTCAGCAGTGATACTTCCTCTCTACCCTGGGGCTCGGTCTTTCTGGCATTCTGCCCCCATCCGTGAGCACCCCAGCCTTGTACATTGTCTGGTTGGCTGCACCTTCCCCAGGCGTTTACTCAGCAGATGTGTGTGAGTGCCCACTGGGTGCCCAGCGCCAAGCCGGGCCTGGGAAGACCACTGTGAACTTGACAGGCTTGGGTGCTGCTCTTGGAGCACTGGAGAAGGAACTAAATCCAGTAAGTGGGTGCCTGCTGTGAGACCCCTGCACACCTGCTTTGACTTTTTATGATTGGTTCTGAGAGCCTTTTGAGCCTGGAATTAACTGTTTTTAAATAAGACCACTGAGGAAAGAGGACCGACCCCCCCCCCAACATGTCCTTCTTACAAAGAGACTACTAGTGGGTAGTGAGGCCTGGGGTTTAGAACCACAGGTGAGACCCCAAAGCACTGCATTCATTCTGAGCCCCCTTCCTGCCCCCAGGGAGGCACATGATGTATGCAGGTGTGAGCATGCCTGCCTCCAACCCAGCAATCCTGCCAAAGCCTGGGGAGGAGGAAAAGCCCTCCCCCTGCCTCCTTGGTCTCCCCATGTTCCTGCTTTTTCTATTTATTTTCCTGATGTATTGTTTCTTTCCTTGCATTAAAGGAGATCTTCCTCTAACCCTTGGGCCAATTTACTGGCCACTAATTAATGTCCCTTAAAATACCAGTTGTGTCACTAAGGGGACCTTATTTCCCCACCCCTGCTGACCTCCCACTTACCCGCCCTGCAGCAGAACTGTGGCGGTTACAAGTGATGATGGAACTTAGGCTCCTGTGCCCCAAGTCACAACTAGCCTCTGGGATCTGCCAACACATGTCCACCCAGTGACTCCCAAACCACTAGCCCACTCCCCAGGGGGCCTTTCTGCCCTCACCATCCATGCAGTTGAGCTCCGCCACCTCTGGGGAAGACAGCAGTTTTTTGGGAAATTCCCACACCCACCACTGCTAACACCAAGCGAAAATTGGGGAGAAACTGAAGCTGGGTTTTTGGCTCCCTGAGGCTAACCCTGATCCATAGGGCTACCTGCACCTCTGGATTCTAGATTCACAGACCAAGTCCAAGCCCGTTCTTATGTCGCCATCAAGGCTCCCGAACGGCATTCTCGGTACTTCTGTTTGTTTTGTACATTTTATTAGAAAGGACTGTAAAATAGCCACTTAGACACTTTACCTCTTCAGTATGCAAATGTAAATAAATTGTAATATAGGAAATCTTTTGTTTTAATATAAGAATGAGCCTGTCCAATTTCTGCTGTACATTATTAAAAGTTTTATTCACAGAGCTTTTCTGGTGCCATGTGTCTTCCATATGGAGAATGACCACCCAGCATTTGCTAGGGAGTTGGGACTCTGAATTATTTCCATCCTTGCTGTCCAGGTCTGATGTGCACACCATGTGCAGTAGATCATGTTCAGAAGAAGTGCACATCTGGACACTTCCTGAAACTAGGTCTTCCTGAAACTTGCTTTATTTCATAGAGGGTGGGCCTGGCATATAAGGCAGCAGGAGACACTGGGCATCCTTGTTGGAGGCTTTGTGTTTGACTTTATCTTTTAGCATTTTTCTCTGTTTTTTATAAGAGGGTCTCAATCCTGGTTTTCACATACCACAAAGTTTTAAAGGCAACCTAGAGCCATCCAGTTTTTCTTCCCTTCTCCTAAATTGAAATTGTAAAGTCTTCGGTGATTGCGTGACTGATATGAGAATCTTCAATAGTTCTGCTGGTATTTTCAAGAGTTTGGGAGATCTACCTCTAGGCTGAGAGGATCCAAAATAGCAAGTGCTAGAAGCATAAAGTTTCAAATTTAGTTGGTACCCTAAAGGTTATCTCACCCACTCCCGTGTAGTATCCTGCCAGATGACACGCCTCACTCTTAACACTTTGGGCGGTGACTTCCATCTGCAGACTGCTGCTCGGTAAGAAAGGACTGGGAAACCTCCACGTGCCTTCTACAGGTTTCTCTTTTTTTTTTTTTTAATATTTATTTTTTACTTTTCGGCGGACACAACATCTTTGTTTGTACGTGGTGCTGAGGATCGAACCGTTTCTCAAAGCAGTTATTCTATGTGAGGTCCTTTAAAATTTGAAGGCAGCTGTCATTCAGTTAATTTTAGCAAATACTTATTGAAAATGTATGCTAAGCAATGTGCCAAAATTTGCTTTATGTATTTTAACTGCTTTAATCTAAAGAACACCCAAATGAGATTGGCATTATTCTCATTATGGATTAGGAAATGAATGGGGAGATTAAAGGAGTCAAGTAAATTGCCCAAGATTACAAAGTTTAGGGGTGGAAAAGACCTTGGATCCACAAGCTGCAGCCCCTTAGAAGCCAATGCACTATCCTGCTCTGTGGTTCTGTGGTCTTCACCAAGGCCAGTTGCTTTCTCCTGAACCTGGTTAAAGCCTCAGGCCAGGAAGGGCGCATAGCCCTAACTGACAGCACAGATAGAACAAGAATCTACAGGATGCTTGATACCTACCTGAAGGTCATCCCAAGACCGAGTCCCACCTCTTGGGCTGAGTAAAAGTCAGCCACCTTCTCCCTCCATCTGGCATGCAGACAGTATTTTGAACTCAAATTGAGTTCATTTCACGGTTGAACCTGTCCATTGCTACAGCCTGTCACTGATTTTAAATCCTGGTTATTACCCAGATTTTTCCATTGTTCTTCCATCTCAAGCGGTCAGATTGGAGAAAAGTAACTTACCTCTGTAAATTTGCTTCAATTTTGCCACATATCCCAGTAACCCAGACAGTTACTAATTAAATTGTCCTTGTGTCCAGGCCATAATTCTTCTCTTGACAAAGATAACAGCAGAAGCCCAAGGCCCTTGCTGAGGTATAATTGTATCTGCTGCATCTCTTTGATCTATTTACCTGTTCTTTGAAAGGAAAGGCAAAGTGCTTTGTAGTTAATCTCAACCCAATTCAAATGAAGGCCCCTTATGGGCCATCCTTTGAATAATTGGTCACCTTGCCAGACATAGACATGAAGCACAATAGAGATGGGTTAGACCTTCACCTTTACCATTTCAAAAATCAGGATGACACCCTTTCTGACATCTCTTCCTGTGCCCTTGAAAGTTACTTTGTCTCATCTTTGTAAGGTGTGTAATAGGAAATCTGAATTTATTTGGTTTTTGTTTCACACATTTTAAGTCTCTGACCCCCAAGCCATGTGTGTTATGATCCTAACAGTCCCACAAATGTGTTTGTTAAACACAACCAAAATAAAATAAGTAGAGTTCAAGCCATTGACCAGGGAACATGAAAGGGATGCATAATAAAGGTGGGGGGACAGGAAGAATGTGTTGGATCAGGCCAGAAATGGTGTTATTAATCAGGGTTCTCCAGAGCAATAGAACCAATAGGATGTGTATTGATACACATAGATAGATAGGTATATAATAAAGAATTAACATTGCATTCTTGTCTGAAGGCAGAATCCTTCCTCAAGGCACCTCAGTCTTTCAAGTCCTTCAACTGATTGGATGGAACCCACCCACATTATAGAGGGGTTATGTTTGAATAAATATCCCCCAAAGCCTCATGGGTTAAAGACTTGGTCCCTAGGGGCTGGGATGTGGCTCAGGCGGTGGCGCGCTCGCCTGGCATGCGTGCGGCCCGGGTTCGATCCTCAGCAGCACCACATACCAACGGGGATGTTGTGTCCGCCGAGAATTAAGAAAAAATAAATAAGTGTTAAAATTCTCTCTCTCTCTCTGTCCCCCTCTCTCGCTCTCTCTTTAAAAAAAAAAATAAATAAATAAAATAAAATAAAAAAAGACTTGGTCCCTAGACATGGAACTGCTGGGGATCTCTTAAGAGGTAGGGGCCTAATGGGAGGTCTTTAAGTCAACGCGGGGTGTACTGCCAAGCTTGGTCCCTTCCTCTCTTTTGCTTTCGGGCTGTGAGATGAGTGCTTTTGCTCTGTTGTGCTCTGCCACCATGATGTGCTGCCTCACCACAGGCCCAGAGCAATTGCACCAATTGATCATGGACTGAAACCCCCAAAACCGAACATCAAAACTTTTCTCTTTATAATCATCTCAGGCTTTCGTTGTAGTAATGGAAGACTGACTAACACAGGATATTCTTCTTTAAGTCTACTGATCAAAATGTCAATCACATCTAAAATATACCTTCTTGGTAATACCCATGCTGCTATTTGACTATACAGCTATAGTCTGTAAATTGTTGGGTGTCCCATGGTCGGAGAGGTTTTAAGGAATAAGCCAGATAGATAGTCCTGCGTTCTGTTTTTTTGGTTTTGTTTGTTTTTGTTTTGGTACTGGGGCTTGAAACCAGGGGCACTTTACCACTAAGTTACATCCCCAGTCCTTTTTATGGGTTTGGTTTTTTGTTGTTGTTGTTATTGTTATTTTGAGGAAAGGTCTCTCTAAGTTGCTGAGACTGGCCCCAAACTTGTATTCCTTCTACCTCAACCTTCCAAATTGCTGGGATTACAGGCATGTGCCACAGCACACAGTGCCCTTTTGAGAATGCTTGTTGGAAACAAGATGGGGGCTAATGGTGTGGGAAGATTTCAGGGAAAATTGGATAGACTATTTTTTGAGCACTATTAATGCATAAATCAGTAGGCAGCACACAAAGATACACAATCTATGTTCCCTGCCCCCCTTCAAGGAGTCTAGAGAGATCAGATATAGAGAGAGATAATAACAATAAGGCAGATTTTGGCAAGTTGTATTATAAAACAACATGGCAGATGTCATGGAACCACAGGAGAGGGGTCTCAGGAAGGAAGAGATAAGGCCCTGCCCTCCAGGCTTGCATTCCTAGTGCAGGGATATCCACAATGGAGGAAGATAAGCACTCTGATAAGGACAAGGCAGAACACTGGGTGAACACAGGAGCCTCTGGAAGTTGGAATCAAGAGAAGAGACATGTATTTTAGAATAGGCACTGGCCTGCTGGCTGAGAAAAAAAGAAGGGACTTTAATCAAAAAGAGTGTTGCCATTCAAAAGTCACAGATGCTAGGGGTGGCCATGGAAAAGAACTCAAGGGTCAGGGAGGGAGTCTTTTGGAGGTGTTCACATGTTGAGAAGTCAGGGCTTCATTCTGAGGACCAGAAATGGCAATACATAGTCTCAATGCCATCACTTCTCCTGGACAGTTACCTCGGACTGTACTAATCTATTAGCAATTTTTCCTCTTGAGTTTTTTCAACAGCTAGCATAATTATTGCCCCATAAGTTAAAATCAATCAGCTGGGCGTGGTGACTGACACACACCTATAATATCAGCAATTTGGGAGGCTGAGACAGGTGGATTATAAATCCAAGGCCAGCTTAGGCAATTGAGAAAGACCCTGTCTCAAAATAAAAATAAAAAAGGGCTGAGTATGTAGCTCAGTGGTAGAGTGCTTGCCTGAGATCAATCCCCAATACCACAAAAGAAAAATACCCTTAGATGAGATAATTTATAAACTTTACTGCTTACCGTTCTAGAGGCCAAGATCAAGGTGCAATCAGATTTGGTATCCGGTGAGGAGGGCCTGTTCACACTGATGGTGCCTTACCATGTGGTAGCAGAGAGGCTCCCTAAAGCCTCTTTTATAATAACCCTACCTCTTAACACTGTCACCTTGGGTATTAGGTTTCAATATGAGTGGGGGGGGGCACAATCAGATATTAGGTTCCAACATGAATTTGGTGTTAGAGGGGGACACACAATATGGTCGTGTTTGTCTTTTGAGAAGATCACAGTACTGGCTTTGAGAGGCCATGGCAGCTGGAAGAGCTGGGAGACAGGGAGAGACAGCGTGGGGAAGACACACAGGTTTGGGCATGATCAGAAGTAAAGCAGGGAGAGTGGGCCTGGCAGTCTTGCATGTGAATTTGGGGGTTGGGGAAGCTGGCCTGCATTGTGCTCTTCCCCTGGGAGAGGAAAGTAGGAATTAAGCAACTGAGCAGGTTTGTTTGCCAAGAGGAAAGAACCTGGGGCCCTAAGAGCTATCATTTTCTGTCTTCACTAGGTGTCCCTGTGCAAGAAGGTAAGATAATATATACTCCATGACTCAGGAGTGGTGCTGTAAAGAAAGCTGTGGTTAGCCTCCCTTTCTTCTGTTTCTAACTTATTCAAGCCAGAGATACCCTGGCCCCCAACATCCAAGAGGCAAGATAGTCCTTGGCTTCTGGGAGAGACTGGACCAAGACGTTATCCATATCAACACAAAGGAACTGCCTCATCCAACTGGCCTCTGCTCCCAACCCCCCTAGAATTGGGTCACTGGGCTAGGTCACTCCTGCTCCT